ATCATCGATGGAGAGGTGATCCTGATTCCCACGATCGGCAACCAACCGAGGGGTGAATAATTCCATTTTTTGTGGTGCTCCTGCATGTAGCATTAGCATACAGCCGGCTCCAGCCCTGAGGTCCACCGTTCTCAGCACAGAATTTCCACGGCAGCATGTGCGCGTGGGGAAAAAATGACCGAATCAACATACCTTGCAATAGGAATGATTGCCATGCTATCAGATCCAGTTGGGAGACCGGAGTTGTTCGACCTCTCTGGCCAGATCTTGAAGCTTTCGGTTCTCAGTCAATTTGTTGTAGTGCTGTTGCCATGAACGTTCGTGGACCTAGCTTGACTAACCTGGGAGCGTCTTGCTTCATCAATGCCGGGGTGCAAGCACTCTTGGCATTGCCCACGCTTGAAGCTTCAAGCGAGACAGACGCCGAGAAGGCATTGAAGGCGGTTGCTGACATGGCCCACAACAGCTCGAGCACGTTCACTCCGAAGCCTCTCACGGATCGCTTCTACAACGGGCGCCAAGAGGATTGCAGCGAATTCCTCATGAACCTGCTCCTGGAATGTCCGGGGGCGAGTCAGCAGTTCAAGGGTGTCGAAAAGCCTTTCCTGCAGTGCACTTGCTGTGACTATCAATATGCACTCCGGCCGGAAACGTTTCTGTCCTTGCAAGCATCCTTACAAAGTGACAGTGTCGAACCGCTTGGCTGCATCCAGAGTGTTGTGGACCATTACGTGAATATGCAAATCGTCCAGGACGACATCATCGATTGGACATGTCTTTCCGAGGATTGCTTGAACGCTGGGACCGCAACCAATGCGCCACGAAGAAAAACTTGCATCACAGAATGGCCTCGCACCCTCTTGGTGACTTTGAAAAGGTGGACCAACCATGGCCTACTGGGCCACCGAGTGTGTTGCAATCGCCGACTTGTTGTGGGAGACTGCTGCTACTACTTGAAAGCGGTCGTGACGCACATCGGAGCAACAGCTTCTTCAGGACACTACATTGCCTACAGGCCAAATGACATAGGCTTCGACAAATACGATGACGCCCGGGTTTCCCAGGTGACGGACTATGGCGACTACATCGTCGGCCCATCCGAGGAAAAAGTTTATCTGCTGATGTACAGCCAGGTCCCAGCCCCAGCCTCGCCCAGATTGCCGCCCGTCAAACGCCCGGCCATTGATCTCGACGACTCCGAAGGGAGCGACGATTCAGCGCCGACACAGCCATGGCCGGCAAAGCCCACGACCAGCATCACGATTGACCTATCGCCAGATGCTGAGCCCGAGGCGGCCACCCAGCAAGACAGCGTCCCTGAAGACGACAAAGGCAAGCAGGCTCATGAAACGGAGTTTAAATCAAGGCCCAAATTGCATAACTTCTACAACTACTCGGAAGACGAACGCGCCTTCATTGTCCAAACCCTCGGCAATAGCAACTCCTTGTCCGAGGCAACAAAGATCATCGGTGGCAAGCTGGAGAACTTCACCATGAAGATCAAGCAGTCCGACTACTTCCTGCATCGCAGTACCTTACAGAATTGGTTCAAGCGCCCGCAGTTCGCGCAAAAAGCATTGCAGACAGCTCCAGCTCCCAGGCCCCAAAGACCTTACAATCGCAAGCCCGCTCGCACGAGCTCCTTTGCCAAGCTGACGCCAGAGCAAAAAAGCCGGCTCGGCCAAGCACTCGTGGAAGACGGCGACGCTGCTGCAGTCGCCGAAGCAGTGCAGACGGAGACCAAGCAAGAGCATCCCGTGCCACGTCGCACGCTGAGCCGCTGGAACTCTTCAAGCAACTTCAAACAATGGATGGCGACTGCCCCCAGCTGGTCCGAGGAGTACAAGCTCAACTTCGGAGTGATGATGCCCGTGCCTAAGCAGAGAGTTGCCAGATCTTCCGCACCCGACGATCCCAGCTCGCTTTGGCTTCGGCAAGGATCCTGGACCTTTTGTTCCCATTGCGGGCACAGACAACCACGAACCAGATCGCAAAGATGGTCGCTGAGTAACTTATATCTCCAGCAAATCCTTGCCGACCATGCTGCGACCAGACAGCCCAGGCTCTGCTGTCTCCGCCGCCCCAAGACTTGCCGAGCACACATTTCCGGATCTATCCAACTCCTCAAGGCAGCGAGTGGCATTCATGGTCGGCAGCAATCTGCAAGAATCACCTACCGCTAACAGACGTTCTTCCTCGAGTGGAGATCGAGAATCTTGCAGTCCTTCGCATCCACGTGGATTATCGCAGTCGCCGAGGAGGCAATGCAGAAATCACCAGCAAGCAGAAGCGCTCGCTGACGCGATGCCGCTGGCATCCAGCCACTCTTCTGGATGCACCGCGAGGCGATCTTGCAGCGCGAGCCTTCACCTGGTTACTGCAGAACAATGACACCTACCGAGCATGGGTTCATCGACATGCAGCTCTGACACAGGAAAACAAGCTAAAAGAAGGCAGAGATCTTCCTACAGCGGAGCTGTTGCTTCGATCGCCGGGCATAGAGATTGCCGCGCGCCCATGGTTGTATCCTCTGCCAAGCATGGCGGACACAAACATCCAGGAAAGATTGCTGCCTTTGGGATGGACAAATGCTCGCAGCAAACCCAGCATCAGAGCTTCCTTCATGCACAAACTGCTGAGCAGATGCGTGGATTACAGCAAAGACTTTCCACTCCAGTGTTTGCTGTACGACGTGTGCATGGCGCGCACAATCAGTGCCGTGCAAGCCATCGCCCAGCAGAACAAGATGTCCCCGGAGAAAGTCGCGTCCGACATGGACACCTTCGACGAGTATTGGCATCAACAACTCCGGAAATTGGAAGACATTTGCCGACTCGAATTCGCAAGAACCGCCTCCATGGATGCGGCACTGCCATCAGTATTCTTCACCGTAGCTCCGGCAGAATGGCGATATCTTCTACACGAGGGATTTTTCGAGGAAGGTTCCCTCGCAGACCAACAGCAGAAAATCACCTTGCACCTGTACCACACGCTGCAGACGCTCTTGGAGTTTCACATCTTGAAGAACGGTGAATCCCTGCAGAGAATTGGCATTGCTAAGGTTCGACAATGGTCGCTCCGATTTGAGTTTCAGTCGAGAGGAACGCTGCACCTGCATGCCGTTCTTTGGGCAGATCTGCTGCCGAACTGCAGCGCCGAAAGCATGACAGGCCGCAGCGGCACAGACAAGAAATCGCCCTTTGTGCGGCTTCTCGAGGAGCTGTTCAGCAGTCGAGCTGATGTTCAGGTTGGAGACGGCGCACACAATCTTCTGAGATATGTAGCCGGATATGTTTCCAAAGCCTCCGATGCGTTGCAGTTCAGCCGAGAACAAGCTCATCATGCAGGCACGCCAACTGACACTAGCAAGTGGCGTCAAACATATCGGTTGCTATCCAAAAAGTCTCCCATGGAACAAGAGATGCTGATGGAATTTGCAGGCCTCCCAATGGTACGACACTCCTTTTCCGGGCACGCAATCTACCCCCCGATCCCCGGCAGCACCGCCAGAAATTCCTCTCAAGATCAGTGTCTCGTGTACCAGTACTACCTCAAGGAGCAGAAGGATGGATTGGGAAGCACCCGCGGCTTGTCCTACATGGAATGGCTACGCCGCTACCGCGTGGTGGATGCAAATCGGCGCACTGTAGCCATAAGAAACGTTGCAGGCCCAGCCAGAAGCTGTGATTGCGGTGTAGCAATGACTTTTCCTTTCGAGCTGTTGGACATCTTCATCGGTGCCTGGGCGGCCACATTCCTCAAAGAGCTGCCGGAATACAGAATCCTTCCGGACACCTCCAAGGACAAGGAAAACTATGCTGCCAGTCACAGCAACGAGAAAATGCGCAGATCGTCTTTCACGGCACCAGAAGGTTGCAAGCGCTTGAAGGCAGTGCTCTCTTTAGATGAGTTTCAGCTGCCCGACGCAAATCCAAACGAGTTCCACCCCGACATCGGCAAACTCCTGTCCCAGATAGAGCAAGATCTAGTTCTTCGAGGCCTCGGTGATGATCGCATAGCCACCTTCAAGGCCCGGATGCATGCGTGCACGCTCCTGCTTCTGGAAATCCGGAACGGTTTCGAAGACCCGGGTCTCTGGAGCGCCAAGAAGATTTCGGCAGCGCCACGCCGAGTTTGGTCCGACGAGCAGCAGCTGGTACTAGACCACATCAAGGCCGGAACTGCCGTCAGCGATGCGGCGATCATGGAGCACTCCTGCAGGATCCTACAAGTTGGAGGAGGTCCCGGAACCGGCAAAACGGAGGTGGTCATCGCAGCTATCCGACAGGCCTTGGAGGACAACTGCCGCGTTCTGATAGCCGGCC